GTGTTATATTTTCCTTATAAACGTGATTATTTTGACGATTGGGTCAAAAGGTCAAAGTACCCAGAGCCGTGAAAACCTTTAGAAAAAAAACCTCAAAGCGACATTGACATTGGCAAGAGGCCTCTTGTCAAAACGTTCCCTTGCTAACTTTCGCATCTCTCATTTAAATATTGTCTAAACATTATTGTCACTTATTTGTATGTTTGTGTTTTAGTTTTTTATTTATATTATTTTTGTTTAATTGACTATTTGATTAGGTATTTTATAGCTTTAATGTTTTATGTGTATACTATAAAATAACCAATACTTTAAGCAGGTAAACATTCAATCATGCTTAAAATGAAACGTACGTACAAGAATGTTACATAATAATAATAATAATAATAATAATAAGAGTTTAAAATAAATACGAAAATAATAATAATTATTATTTATTTTATAATCTATCGTCGAAATGAATCAATTGCGTTGTGTTCTAGCATCTATTCTAAAATACATTGTTTCGCAATTTCTTTAGTCCCGGCTTCTAAAAATATACAAAAATATATTAATAACTAGGCATAAACTAAAACGTAAAATTATACTAGCAAAATCCATTAACGGCTCTTCGTTAATTTTGGGTCAGCTTTCGCCACCCTTCTTTAAAACCTTAGAGCAGCGGACAGCAATGAATTTTCATAATTACTTTGAAAGCTTTGGTCGGAAAGAAGTCGCACGGTCCTCAAATGACAAACTTCCCGTGTTGGTTTTTTGAAAGTACTTATAATGCAAACATTTATGAGCATGTTTTAAAAAAAGAATTTTTTGTTCCATACACGGATACAACAAAACGTCACGATTTGCCGTATATAAATTGTTTCACTTAGATGAAGTTTTGGCACTAACTACAGCAAATATTGACTGTTTGAGTTTATCTAAGTCACTCGAAGTAAAGTAAATAACTAGGAGCTTCTTACTCCGTCCCTAGGGATTAAATGATGCACTTTACTCCCGCTACGTAAAGCTAAATTAACGTACTTTCAGAGCAATAGAAATGAAAAAGTGTTTATGATGTTATTACTGTAGTCCTGCGGAACTGTTAGTATTTTACAAATAACGAATAAGGTACTTATGCAAAACATATTATGCCGACGAAGCCGCGGCCAACAGCAAGTATTTTTAAATCCATAGTAACCATCAATTTGTATTTGAATTAGATTACTTACCCCTAAATGAAATTGTCTTCTGCTATTCCGAACAATATCTAATTAATTAAATAAGTCTACTGAAACTCAATGTTCATAGGTACGTCTCGAATGATAATTATAAATAACAGTGTGGTCTTGTACGAAATTGATTCAAGAAATTTACATACCTACGATACATAGTACGTTACGTACGTAGTACATTGTACGTTGTGTTCTTGTCCCGCAAGAAACACACTTACAAACGCTCTCT